TTGGTGAAGTGACCTTCTCCCATGTCACCCAATTAATTTTCCTGTTTCCTTCCGATCCTCCCCACAGGAATCTACAACGTATCTTTTCCAGGGACTCCACAACTCCCTTAGGGGCCTTAAATAGGGACATAAAGTAAGTTTGTAAATTCCCAAGAACAGCTTTGACAAGCGTAAGGTGCCCCCCAAATGATAAGGTCCTGGATTTCCACCCTGAGAGTTTAGACTGGAGTTTTTCTATTATAGGCGTCCAATATTTTGCTTGGTTCATGTTTGCACCAACAATAACGCCAAGATATTTAAACGGCATAGTTCCCGCCTCACAGCCAAAGATACTCGCCCATTGAGATGTTTCATTCGCCGAAGCACCAATACCAAGTACTTTTGATTTATTGAAGTTGACTCGTAAACCTGATGACACATGGAAGCACTTGAGGATCCGTGCAAGGTTCTTGAGGTTGACTTTTGACCACTCTCTCATAAATAATGCATCATCTGCATAAAATAAATGGGATGGTACTGGACCATTCCTATGTATTTGGATGCCGTGAAAAATTCCTTTTTAACCGCCGATTTAAGTGCGACATTCAATCCCTCCATAGCTATGATGAATAGCAATGGTGAGAGTGTGTCTCCTTGCCTAACACCTTTCGTTATTAGGAATTTTGCAGTAGGTGATCCGTTAACCAGTAGCGATGCCTGAGCCGACGAGAGACAACCTCGTATCCACGATCTCCATTTATTTTCGAATCCCATTTGAGAAATTACCGAATCCATGTACTCCCAATTAATGGAGTCGAACGCCTTGTCAAAATCTACTTTAAATAGTAGAATTTTCTTTTTAATACTCTTTGCCCATGCACATAATTCGTTGACAATAAGTGATCCGTCCAAGATATTACGCCCTTCCACATATGCGGATTGGACCTCTCCTACTACTTTCCCCACAACCATCTTGAGTCTATTTTCTAGGGTTTTAGACACTATTTTAGTTATACAACCAATAAGGCTTATAGGTCTAAATTCACTTAGAAGGGTTGGGTCTTTCACTTGGGGAGCCAAAGTGATAAAAGAGGAGTTGTATGATAGAGCGATTAATCCTCGGTCCTCAAAATACCTTACATAATTCATCACGTCATTTGAAAATATCGACCAATATCTCTTGATTAATTGGAACGTTAGCCCGTCCGGCCCTGGGGCCTTGTCCCCACCACACTCCTATACAGCTATCTTAACTTCTTCATATCAAAGGGGAGCTTCCAACCTTATAGCATCCATCACATCAATGGACTGAAAGTTGGGATTTATTAGTTTAGGCCTCGATTTCCACTTCTCCTTGAATTTTTCCGAAAAGAATTTAAAAGCCTCATTTTTATGATTTGCACATCAGATTCCCATCTTCCATTTATTGTAAGTCCCGAGATTCTATTTTTCTGGATGTTGTTATTAACATACCCATGGAAAAATTTTGTATTCTCACCTCCATCAATCACCCATTTCATTCTTGCCTTCTGTTTTACATCCATTGCTTCTCTTCTTTCAAACTCCATGATTCTTTTGATATTGCTACGCCAAATACTAATTTCTTCTTCAGAGAGTGCCCTGATTTCAGCCTCCTTTTCTAACTTTGTCGTTACTTCTTTTAAGTTAATTAGCTCCTGTTTTTCCTTCTTGCATTCGACTCTCCTCAATTTGTAACACCGTAAATTTCAAAACAAAATTTTCAATTTTTATAAAACATAATTCCATCAATATTCATCAAACAACCATATTAATTATCCAAAATAGGTCAATACAAAATCCCAAGATCACAATGTAAAACTCTGAGTGTGTGTGTGTGTGTACGGATCAAGCCGGCGCCTTCCCGCGATCGTCACTAGTACCTGAAACAATAACATCAAACACTGTAAACACAAGGCTTAGTGAGTTCCCCAAAATACCACATATAACACATATTAGCCACTCGAGGCTATAACTCTGTGGGTCCGTGCACCCAAACTCTGTGAACCCTCAGGTTCTAGCTCTGATAAACATGCACTACATAAATCCCATAGAAATAATGCAGTACAACACATAACATGCATAGCATACAATACCCTATCACATAACTCAGGTTACCTACTCAAGGTAATATAGTATAGTGAGAAGACTCACCTCGCGTATCTCGGTATCTCACGAATCCTGGAAATCCCTCGTGCACGATCCTCCGAGGTCTAATCCTCCTATAACATTATATGCTTCTAATTAACACTTTATATCTCTAAGGTTGACTATCTAAGGAGTCAACACAGGTCAACTCTGGTCAACGGTCAACGGTCAACTCTGACCGGACTCGGCGAGTACCAAGGCGACTCGGCGAGTCTAGACGTTTTTATCAACCCTCTGAAATCCTCTTACTACACGTCGAGTATCCCCCCCCCCTTTACTCGACGAGTTTCACCTGAATGAATCGTGGGGCCACCCCGACTCAACTCGCCGAGTCTCAAGGACAACTCGGCGAGTCCAGGTTTGAATCAGTCCACTCGTCATCCCTCTCCAACTCACCCTGACTCATTGAGTCTACCCATGACTCGATTGGACCACTTGCTGAGCAGTCCCAAGGCAATCTTCAAGCTACTCGCCGAGTCGGATGAACAGACTCGGCGAGTCCATGCCATGCAACCACTCCAACTCGCTTCTAAGGTCAGATCTGCTTCCAAAAACTATAGATCTGGCCTCCCTCGACTGATTCATCACGTAGAGCTCCTATCTTGGTGCTCATAACACATCCTATAACTCAATAATGGCGTTTTTGACCCAAGGCATGAGGATTCCAATCCAAAGCCTCCATTGATCCCCAAAAAGCTTGGGTAAAGGGACACTCTGGACCTCTAAGGGTCCAGATCTATGGTTCCAACCTCATAAGGGACCAAAAGAACACCAAATCTTGCCATAAAAGGGTTCAACAAACCCTAAATCTAGATAAGCAACAACAACAAGAAGGTAACTCGGATTTATTACCACAAAAGTGATGCTCTGGACTCCAAACCCACAGAAGTGGCTCCTTCTTGCTTTCCCTTGGCTAGCTCTTCTCCTTTCCTTGCAACAATGGCACCTCCAAGGTCAATAATGGCCTCCTACTTAGCTCCAATGCTCACACTCGATTAGGGTTTCACTCAAGGGGCTGGTGAGCACAAATGACGGCCATTAGGCCCTTTAAATAAGTCTCAAACCCGAGAAATTAGGGTTTCATTACACAGCGCTGACTCGCCGAGTCCATATCCTGGACTCGTCGAGTCCAGGCGCGATCCTGCGTCCAAATCCGCGTCCCTACTCGGCGAGTCTGAGCTCCAACTCGCCGAGTCCCCCTCACAAAACAACAAAATACAACAAACAAGATACCTGATAAAATCCGACTGTTACACCATTGTTTTATCTCACCTTTGAGGTGTTTGAACTTGGCAGCCAGATACGTATCTGCATTCCCATAGCCTTGAAAACTTTCCCATGCTTTATTTACCACCCCATGTATTCCTTCAATATGCAACCAAGAATTATAGAACTTAAAGGGATATGGGCCGTAGTTGCTATTGTTCGAGAATAGAGTAATAAGACTATGGTCAGATAGCTCCCGGGGATGTACAATCACAGTTAACAAAGGAAAATACGCCAAGAAATTTGAACATGCGAGAAATCTGTCCAACTTACTCAGTTTAGCATCTGATCTATTTTATTTAGTTCTTAATCATTTTATAACCTTCCTTACTTTTAAGTTATTTAGTTTAGATCTTATTTGTTGGTCTACTAGAGCTATCTTGAGTTTGACACTCTTACTTATTCTAAAGAAATGGTTAAACTTGGGTTAACATATTTAATATCAATTAAATAAATAAATTTTAGGGTAAATTACACGGATGGTCCCTGTGGTTTGGGGTAACCTGCACGCCTAGTCCCTGAGCAAGATTTTTAACTCGGATGATCCGTAATGGTAAAATTCATAACCATCCTGGTCCCTCACTTAACATCCCGTCTAATTGCTCCGTTAAAACACCCCACGTGCAAGGCACGCAGGGGTATTTTTGTCTTTTTAAGTCACCCTGTCTTCTTTAAACATGGTTTATTTGTCTTCTTCCCCCATTTCTTTCTCAATCGCAGTCTTCTCCTCCCACCTTTCTTCTCACAGCCGATCAAACATGGTGAAATGCAATTGTGGTGCGATAGGCGTTATACGTACTTCAACTACGAAAAGAAACCCAGGTAGGGCATTTTATGCTTGCCCATTAGAGGTACGATGCTGGAATTGTTTTGGGGGATTTTCTATTGTAACCCTAGTATGCGTATGTGCTAATCGAAGCTATTCACAGTACAGGGACCAAGGTCTGGCTTTATTAAGTGGGTAGATGAAGAAAAGCATGGTCATGAGGCGGAAATAAAAAATGAGGGGCTTGAAATCCAAATTCAAGAACTTGAGGTCCAAAATCGGAATCTGAAGGCATTGTTAATAATCAGTTGGTTTTTGTTTTTTGGGATAGTTGTTTACAAGTTGTAGTGTTAGTTTTAAGATCAACAGAAGTAGTTGTAGTTGTTTACAATGCCTTGTAATGAAACTTATTTGTATCAAGGGTACCCTTTTATCAATGAAAATGATATTTTGTTGAACTTGATTGTATTTTACAATTTGTGATGTATCTTGGGACATTGGTTAAACTACATTGCTAAAAGAAATCAAAAGATTACATTGACAAAAGCAGATGACCCAAATAAAAGCAAAACATATGACCAAAATAAAAGCAATGCCAAAAGCAGATGACCAAAATAAGCAAAACAGATGACCAAAATAAAAGCAATCAAAAGATTACATTGTTTGTCAAAGGCAAAGTACATTGCTAAAACTGGATACTATAATTACACCATTGTTTTTCAAAAGCAATTAACATAACCATCACAACACATAAATTAGTTCAAAAGAAGACAATGTTTGTCAACATCAACCAAAACAATACATAAGCACCTAAAAGCCACATTTATGGGACACCTTTCCCTTTTTTGCTAACACTTGCCCTCACTTTTGCACTTCCATCCTTCACTTTCGCACTTCCAGCACCACTATCATTCCTTGAAGTTTGTGATCCACCAGCCTTCACTTTTTCACTTCCAACCTTCACTTTTTCACTACCAGCACCACCAACAATCTTTGAAGTTTGTGATCCACCAACATTCCTTGAACTTTGAGAACCACCAGCCTTCTGTCCCTTGCAAGTCCTTGCATTATGCCCACTTTTGTTACACTTAGAACATGTCACTGATTTTTGTGCTCTTGACAATTGGTTACCTTTCACCAAATCCTCAACCTCCATGGCAGATCTCCTTCTCTTTTTCTTTGGTCTTCCAATGGGCACATGGTGTTTTGGAGGGAGTAAGGTTGTAGGGCATGTAGACTTCTCCCACATGTTCCTTCCATTGATTGGGTGAATTGTAAAAGAATACATATTCTTCCATGTTTCTAACCAATACGTTCGATGGACCAATGTTCAGGTATCTTATCAATTTCTTTGTTCTTCAACATCTCCCACATACATGCTATTGCATGTGCACATGGTATCCCTATTAGTTCCCACCTTCTACATGAACATGTTTGTTGGCCCATATCTACCACAAACTGTTCCAAAAGATTTTTACTGACTTGATATTTCCCATTCCCACAAAAAACAGACCTTAATTGTGAAGCCTCTTTCTTCAGTTTTTCAACCCATATGGTAGCTGTAGGAGTCAAGGGACCTACAGCTTTATCAATTTCCTTTTGCACAGTTACAATTTTCTTCACTAAGTACTCTCTAATGTACTCCAAACATGTAATGATTGGTACATCACGACCTTCAACAATCTTGCTATTTAGAGATTCACACATATTGTTAAGCATAGCATCTGTATGAGCTCTACCTAATAAATCATTAAAATATGTATGAGCTATTTAGAGTTTCACACATATTGCACAGCTACAAACTAATGATCTAACATTAAAATCTACCTGTAAAGTGTGAACGAGACCAATGTTGAGGAGGAATGTTTTTAAGCCACTCATACGCATCATTATTAAGTTTTCTAAGTTCCTCCATTGATCGTTGAAACTGTTGAATAGTAGATGCTTTTGCACAATCCCATAGCAAGTCTTTGAATTGCTTTGCCCTCCAATTAGCTTTCATGTTTTCATGGATATGACGAAGACAATAACGATGCTCAGCGCATGGAAACAACTTTGTTATAGCAGGTAACACTCCCTATATAATGGAAAATTGTATTAAAAGTATATCATATATAATGTATTAATTTGATATTCGAATTAATACCTTTTGTCTGTCTGTCATAAACGTAAAATTTGAGTTTGTTCCTAAACCCAAATCATCCCCTAGACAAGTTAGAAACCAAGTCCATGAGTTGGTACTCTCAGATTCCACAACAGCATAAGCCAGTGGATATGTTCCATTATTACCATCAATTCCCTACATAAGTAAAAAATTTACAATTAAAGCACCATCAATAACCTAAAATACAACTTTTTATAATATAAATGTAGTTCATATGAAAAAAGGTTACCACAGCTGAAAGTATTTGTCCTGGGTATGGACCCTTCATAAAAGCACCATCGAGACCAAGAAAGTCTCTTCTTCCAGCAGCAAATCCCTTTTTTAAAGGACCAAGACAGATGTATATGCGCTTGAAAGTTCTAGTTTCTGAATTTGGATTTGGTTCACGCTCTACATCAATCTTTACAGTCGTGTCTGGGTTATGTTTTTGAAGTTCTTGAACATAGTCTCTCAATAGAGCATACTGACCTCGATAATCCCCTCGCACCTGATTGAGAGCTTCAGTTCTAGCCCTAAACACTTTCATCTTGGAAAGTCCCACTTGGTAATCACGTTGCAGTTGTTCTTGTAAAGCACGAATTGGAATAGTTGGGTTAGATTCCACCTGAGTTGTAATCTTTTTGGCAAGAAACTTATAAGTACACGCTTTAACATTCCGAGTTTGGAGACAACGATGTTCTTTGTTGTAAGACTTGACCATCCAGTTTGTATCACGTTTCCATTTACTAGCGTAGAGGCTCCACGGGCACTTCTCTTCATCTTCATTGTTGACTTCTTGTTGACCTTCCCCACTTTTGTCTAAGTTTCCCAGTTTTGGTATTGTCCCCCTACACACAACTCTTACCCTATTCTTGTCATTTTTTTCAAAACCAAGTTCCCTTCTTGTCTCAATAGCATGGACTTTAACTCTTTCTTTAAACTCTTGGGCTGTATTAAAGGTTTGAAGGATATAAAATGGTTCAGCAACATTTGCTTCATCATTCTCATGAGCTCGTTGGATAGCTTTGATGGTCTTCTTTCGTTGACCAACTGGACCTTCATCCGAAGATGATCCTGACAAAAGTACCTCGTTATTTAGTACTTCATTAAGCTCTCCAACTTCATTCTCTTCTTGTACCACATTGTCATTCATACCTCCAACCCACTCTGCATCCATATCAATGTTATCATTGAAATCATTCATGTCAACTTCTACATCATCTAAGATGTTGTCATTGTCAACATAAAAGTCTATATCATCGGACTCACTAGATTTATAACCACTATCATCGTCAAAGTTGTCCCCACTTCCAAATTCTTCTTCGTTTATGTCCTCAAACATCTCCCCACTTTCAAATTCAGACCATGGATCTTCTCCACCCTTGTTACCATCCCTAAATTCAACTTCATTCGTGTGCTCAAATTTGTCCCCAATTTCAACTTCAACGCATGGATTTCCTTTCTTGTTATTATCCCCATTATCAGTTATGTCCATATTGTCATCTCCAGTGACGTCCATTACATTAGCCTCTTTAGAAGCATCCCCAACAACATTTGTCTCCCCAGTATCATACCAATCTAAGAAAAGCCTACGAGAACATGATGGAGGTTCAATAATTTCTTTATTTGAACTTTTGCTTGATTTGGGGACATTGTGTACGTATGTAATTGGGTTTTTCCATGCTCAATATAGACTTCAATCAACTTATGCTTGGAAATGAAGGTACCCAGATGTCTCACATCCTGATCACTACCCAAAGCAAATAACCCGAAATCTAAATCTGAAAAAGGTCGTTTAAAGTGATAGTACAAAGGTATACCTTCATCAACATAACCTAACTGTTCCATCATTTCATCAATGTCATGCACTGAGAAAGTATCCATGTCGAGTAAGTCTATATACGTTTGTTTTCCTTTGATGTACTTTCTTCCAGGAAATTTGGTGAACTCTCCACCATGGTATAACCTAATGGAAAAGATTGTCGGATGCCCCCTGTGAAATAGCCCACTTCAGATAAGGCTTCAACAAAATCCAAGTTATAGAAGATTGAGAGTGAGAGAATACTTACAGTAACGACGTCCAACATCGATTTCCTCCATATTTGCACGTATACGCCACAGCACCATTGCGTTTTAGAGGAGAAGATATCACGATTAGGGTTTTCTTATCGGAATGTTGAAATTTTTCTGGGTTTTCTGAATGAAAAGATGGAGTACAGAGCAAAATGATCGCCTCTTCGTATACAACATGGCGGTAACACTAGAATATTAAAAAGACAAAAATACCCCTGCGTGCAAGTGGGGTGTTTTAACACTAGAATATTAAAAAGACAAAAATACCCCTGCGTGCCTTGCACGTGGGGTGTTTTAACGGAGCAATTAGACGAGATGTTAAGTGAGGGACCAGGATGGTTATGAATTTTACCATTACGGATCATCTGAGTTAAAAATCTTGCTCAGGGACTAGGCGCGCAGGTTACCCCAAACCACAGGGACCATCCGTGTAATTTACCCTAAATTTTATATATATATATATATATATATATATATATATATATATATATATATATATATATATATATATATATATATAAGAAATGGTTTGACAGATTGAAAACGGGTTGATAATTTTTTATCCAACTCAACCTATTTTATTAAATGGGTTAGACGGTTAACCAATTTAAGTTAATGGATTGAAAATATCAACCCAACCTACTAATTTTGGATTAGGTTCGGATTGAATTGATAGATTTGATCGGTTTTTGTCGGCTCTACAATTACCAAATCAATATCGAGTAATCCGGTTCCAATTGGATCCGGTTCGAATTGGATTTTGGTCCGGGTGAAGTTTCTAGCTTTAAAGCTAATTCCTATTAGTTGACACCGACGTCCGACAACAAAAGATACATTCAACAAAATTTAATATTCAACCCATTTACAAATTATTCATTTTACATTAATTATGCTTTATGGGTTTTAATTATTTATTATTTTCTATAAATATTTTAGAAAACACTTTTCTAGCTCTGTGCTAAAGTGATAAGAAAAGACTAAAGACTCGTATCAGATGTTAGAATCGTCAAACTTTGACAATAAATAAAGAAACACTTTTTTTTCTTTCATTAACTTTTTAATTTATGCCGTTTAATAACAGACATAAAAATCTAAAACAGGGTATTCTGTCACTTTGTTTCGAATTGAGATTATAAACCCATTCATTTAGTTTTATCATATATTCTTTGAAATAATAACTCAATTTTAAAAGATCAATATTTTAAATTAAGAAAATATAAATAGCTTCCTACTTTTGTTCTCAAAAAATATTTATATTAACATGTGTCATTTTAGTATATTTAAATATCATTAACGTAAATGTAAAGCTCGTGTATTACACGGGTTGATTAAAAAAAAATTAAATATTGAAATGTAAACAATATATATTTTTTAAAATAAAATTTTGAAATAAAAAATGAAGAAATGTATTAATTGTAATTTAATATTATATTTATGACATTTAATACTTTATATATATATATATATATATATATATATATATATATATACTATGTAACTTTTTTATTTTAAAATTTAAAAAACCTAAAAATTGATACGTGCATATTATTTATTTCAAAAATATCATAAAATGACAAGTATTTAAATTAATAAGAGATTGACATATGACAAAATAGATTTTCATTTATTATAGTTGATATTATAGTTGATATTATAGTTGATGAATATTAAATGTGATATATGTCATCATTTAATTGAATAGAAAGATTTATAGAATCTTATTATAGTTGATGAACATTAAATGTGATACATGTCATCATTTAATTGAATAGAAAGATTTATAGGAACAAAAAATAAAAGGATATTCTCTTAAATTAACTATACATGTCAAACCTTAATGATGCTAGGTACATTTGGTTTTGCTGATTTTTGAATTTTATTGTAGGGATAATGACTTGAAAGGGTAACGAACTTTCGATTTTTATCACATTTAGTCACTAAACTTTTTTTCGTTATCTATTTGCCATTGAACTATTGAAACTGTTCACATTTTACCCTTATGACCGGCTGTTGCCGGTCATAAGGGTAAAATGTGAACAGTTTCAATAGTTCAATGGCAAATAGATAACGAAAAAAAGTTTAGTGACTAAATATGAACAAAATCGAAAGTTCGTTTCCCTCTAAAAAGTTCAATGACTAAATGTGAACAAATTTTCTCGTGTATTATGTTTTACCAAATTATTTACTTTTGTTAAATTGTAGCAACATTTGTTGATGAAGAAATCTATAAAATAATAAATAAAAAAATAATAAAAAAAATTAAAATAAAAAAAAAACCCTGAAAATATATTTTAAAAAAAAAACAAAAAACCAAAACCGAAATAAAAAACCAATGGTTTGACATTTTCCAAAATAAAAAATCAAAATTTCCAATCTGATTTTAGTTTTACAAAAAAATGAACCATTCTCACTAATGTGAATTATGACCATTAGTTTGACATGCGTTGTGACATCCCATTAATATGTAGTTACAACATCGTCTAAACTCGTAATTCATAGTAAGGGGTTAGAGTATCATCGCATGAATACGTAGTTACAACATCGCCTGAAATCGTAATTCATCACCTACAGGTTATGGGCCTGTTGGTGTTTCCAATGGGTTGTCTAGAATAGTCCGTGGTCGCCATCTATACTCTGGTAGATTACTACATCGCCACATTATTGGTTAAGGTTATGGTATCTCCTTTCATCCTACATCACATATTCATCATCATCTATTTACCCAATTATCATCACCTTTCTATCATCACCTATCTCTCATCATTTTATTTCATCACATTGCTGGTTAAGGTTATGCTTCCTAACTTCGAACCCCAAGGTTTACTCTACGAAAGCTTCATATTCTCGGCTCTCTGCACCTAGAAGGGTCCAGATCTATCACACCGAAAAGCTCAAGATAGCTCTTCCTCTCACTCTACACACTCAAGCTTGCTAGGGTTCTCACTTATGGGAAAGGTAGTCGCAATTGAAGGCCACAAGTGCCTTTAAGTATGGCTCGGGCCCAAAGATTTAGGGTTTCTGCCAACAACGCGGACTCGTCGAGTCGCCTCACCGACTTGTCGAGTCCATTCATTAATCTGAGTCATCAGTCGCGACCTTACTCGATGAGTTGAGGCATCAACTCGTCGAGTCTCTCTTCTTAACTCAAAAGAAAGATACTTAAATTATGATACCTAGAAATCCGGATGTTACATATTGTTTTTTTATTTCATAGATTTCTTCATCAACAAATGTTGCTACAATTTAACAAAAATAAATAATTTGGTAAAACATAATACAAGAGGAAGTTTGTTCACATTTAGTCATTGAACTTTTTAGAGGGAAACGAACTTTTGATTTTGTTCATATTTAGTCACTAAACTTTTTTTCGTTATCTATTTGCCATTGAACTATTGAAACTGTTCACATTTTACCCTTATGACCGGCAGCCGGTCATAAGGGTAAAATGTGAACGGTTTCAATAGTTCAATGGCAAATAGATAACGAAAAAACGTTTAGTGACTAAATGTGACAAAAATCGAAAGTTCATTACCCTTTCAAGTCATTATCCCTTTATTGTATTTGTAGTTTTTTTTATTGAATTAATTCATTTACAAAAGTGTTATATATGTGCTTGGTAACGAATGGAGGCCATAATGTCATAGATAATTACGATGTGATGAAAAACAATATACCGTTTATAAAGTTAAATTCTTCTAAGAGGTGCCGTTCAAAAAAAAAAAAAAAAAAAAAAACTTCTAAAAGGTATTTTTATTTATTTATATATTAATTTAGATATCCAATTCATTCATTACCCAACAATATCTTTAATGAGTTTTTGCATACGGTATGGATGATAAATCTCCCTATCCGTTGGCTGTCTTGCCACCTCACGGACCGTCCCCGTTTTCTACATTTTGTTTTTTTAATCTTCTCAAGAAATCCAAAAGAAAGGGAAGAAATGTTAAAAATACGAGATTTTAAGATTTTTTAGTCCTTTTATATAAATAGAGGAATTATTTTAATTTTTTTGTCCCAATTTTTTTTTTCAATTTTTAAAAAGAATTGAAAGGAAATGTTTCATAAAATTTAAAATTTGACATAAATGTCAATATTATTCTGCCCTAAGGAAATATTTATCACGACAAACTTATATGTGCTGAGGTAGCGTTTTGTTTTGTTGATTTTGAGGGTTATTACGAAAAAATAAAAATTAGCCCCAAATATATATATATATATATATATATATATATATATATATATATATATATATATATATATATATATATATATATATATATATATATGGTTAGGTTATTTTGTTTTTAATAACTACTGTGTGCCAGAATGCACAGATCTGGACCATTGGATGGAATATAATCAAAGGTCATGATCTGAGGGTCTATGATAGTAGAATATGATAACATGTACCATATAATCACACAAATTTCAACATAAGGGCATTTTAGTCAATTAACCTATATTAAAAAAGGAAATTTTCGGATTTTTAGGAATGATTAATTTCTTTATTTTTTAAAAATCTGAATATTTAAAATTAATTCAAATTTAAAAATCCGATTTTAATCTGTCAGAATGATATAATGCCAACCATAAACTAATAAATATATTTTTCGTTTTTATTCTGTCAGAATGGCAGAATGCCAAATATAAACTAGTAAATACATTCTGAAAGAATACACAAATCAATTCTTGAACTAATAATATAACAAATAATTACATTGTATGATTGTCATTAATTGAATAATAACAACATTCTGAAAGAAAAAAAAAACATCAAAATCTAAGAAAAACATTAATCTATTCTGAAAGAATATTATTTTTAATCAACACTTTATACATTGTAGCATAGCACATTCTGATATAATACACTCTCGTTCTATATGTTTTCTTCCTTCTCCACATCAATGTTAGCCTCTTCAAACCTAAATCCACAAAGAAAAGATAATCATTTTTCAAAAATTAAACAATTCAATGCATTATAATAAATACAACAATAAATATTCTTACATAATAAACTATTCTTGCAGAATGATTTTGAATATTCTTAAAGAATTTGTAACATATTCTATCAGAAATGATATGATAGAGAATGATAACATATTCTACCGGAATGTTTTTAAATTTTCTTATCTAATAATGGTTTTTTACTTTCCCTATCTTGACAAATAAGAAGATTGAAATCAAATTGTTACAGAATAATAAACATTCTTAGATTTTTGACAGAATACATACTACATGGCCAAATTCTCTTTCAGGCATTTCCACAAACACCTTTTGTGCACACATATATAAATAATAGAGAATCAAAAGCTTAAAGTATAAAAAAACAAATATCCTCATTGTTCTTCTGATGCGAATTTAAGGGAGTGTACAACTCAGCAAAACTTAGCATCCATTAAAATAGGTTGCTTCATCAATTAGGGTTTAAGAAAAAAGGGTTAAAGTATAATCGTTGGTACCTGTATCGGATATCTCACTTGAGTAGATCCAAATGAAAATAGGTCAGGCATGGGATTTATGCTTCCGTCTCGGAGCACCGTCTCTACAGCTGATTCACAAATGTGCCGGTTTCCTGTCCACAACAGTCCGACTGCTCTGTTCACTGGATTCACCGTCCGGCCAGAGGCTTCGAACAGTAAAGACTGAAATTAACCTGAACGTACACAATTAAACAGATAACCAATCAATTCGTATTATATATCAACATATTAATCAACCAAAACCTCAAATAGTATAACTTGTAAGAAGGTATGAGATAAATAGATAGATTGAAGATGTTGTGATGATATTTACCAGGTCGTTGGTGCTCAGGGACGAAGGAGAGGAAGGACATAAGGCCGACACAACCGAAAAATTTGGCAACAAACAAATTGGCGTTGGCTTGAGCTTGAGCACTTTTGATGGCACAGAGGCTTTGTCTGAGAATGCAGCCCTTTCGAAGAATTCTGCAGCCATTGCAACAACACCTTGAGTCTGTTTGTGTGCTAATTGTTGGAAGCGATGCTGAATAAGAATGGGGTTTGGAGTTGTGTTTATATATGTCGAACTAAGGAGAGGATAAGGGTTTCTGGATCTGTGAAGAGAGAACGATGATTTTTAGAAAATTAGGGGGGAATGGTTGGTGGTGTTATATGAAAATGATAACCTAAATTAGTGGGATATTGATTGATTTTGTTTTCTTTTACCATAATTAATTATAGTGTATATTACTCTTATACCCTTTTATTATTTATTAATGATTTAATTATTTCTTGAATTCTCATTGGTGCATTTAGGCACACAATACTTGTTAAAAACATTTGAACCTAGCTCTCTCTCTCTCTCTCTCTATATATATATATATATATATATATATATATATATATATATATAATATATATATATATATATATATATATTCAACATATCTTTATCAATAATTATCATTGTTAACTCATTATGTCTTTCCTATAACATTGAAGTTAATTAGTTATTTTAATATTTTTGTCCATTTACATTACCTATACATATTAGTCTTCACTGTGACATTGAATATTATAAAGAAAATTTTTTTACGGTGGCCCATGTCCTTATATATCTATTATATATCTATCAGGTTTCCTGTTGCTTCGATAAATGTAAAAAGTTGACAAAATTCTTTTTAATTTTTAATTGAAAAACACGCACAAGACAATAGAATTTCTAATTTTTCGTCTATTTTCTTTTCTGCTCTAATTTTTCAAAAGATACCCAAGAACAAAGTGTTAAGCATGTGGTTTGGAAGCTACTAACCCCCCCCCCCCCCCCCCCCCCCCCCCACACACCAAAAGTATTAAAGTCTTTGGCGTTTATAAGCTATATTTTTTTTTTAAAGTTATTATAATTTAAAATTTTTGAAAGACTATAAAAATAGTTCATTATATTCTATAACCTAATTTATAAACAAGGCTTTTGAAAAGCCATTTCATGTTCTTTATTGATTAGTTATCCGTTTCAAAAGTCGAAGGGAAACGAGTGTAGGAGATGAACAAAATTGAAAAAGATTTCATTATGGACTTGGCTACTCTATAAAGGCCATTGAATTCATAAGTGTTGAAAGTGGTATGGATACTAAGTGTTGAAAGTGGTATGGATACTGGGGAATTGGCTATATAAATAGTTAAATATCACGGTGAACATATTCAGTACTACATTGATGAACTGCGACACCACATAACCAACAACTTGGTAATGAATGAAAGAAATGTCAAGATCCTTAACCACGTTAAGACCACCTACAACTCACTTTCATTTTTTCCTCTAAAAATAAAATAAAAAATAGGATAAATAGTTTTTCATCTCCAACCATACTCCATTTTTTACTCCGAAAAGTATATTTATAGTATATTTCGTTCTTCTAACTTACGTAAATTATCAAACACATACATTTACTAATTTAGTTCTAACAAATATATTAGTTTTAACAAATATATAATCTATATTTTTTTTTCATTAAAATAACATTAAATAAACAAAATTATATTTAAAGTACACGTATAAATAAATATTATTCATGCATTTATAAAAATAAATATTATAAATGCTTTTGTAAATACGTTATCGTGTTTCATAATTTTAATAAGTAATTAAACTCTTATATGAATTCGATAAATAAAAATAAATTTTACATTTTTGATTAATTAATATAATTTATTATATAATAATATATTATAAATATTAAATATTATATTTAAATAAATTAATAGATAAAATAAACAAGAAATGTATAAATATCTAAAACGAGGGATTAAACTCTACAACCGAAACTTCATCCCCATATTTGGATATATGAATAGTATTACCCCATATATGGGATAATACTATTCATATCTCCAAATATGGAGAGGAAATGAGGTAGGGTTGGAGAAGAATAAAGGAAAAAATAAAGGAAAAAATGATATTTGGGGGTGGGTTGGAGATGCCCTAATAAGTTCCTGGATGTTCCTTAGGAGGAAATTGAGAAAATGAACAACTCTACTGAATCTACTGGGAAGTTTCTAAAGAAGCCAGCTCTTGACTTAGGATTGGACGAATTGAAAAAAAAATGACAAATACTTTTGTCAGTATCTGTAACGCCCGTGTTTCCAGGATAGACATTAATGATGATATAATAGTCTACGTCAACATTTGTAACTCATTTTAAAGAAATGAAAAGGAATTATCTGATTATTATGTGAATTATGTGTTTTATGCTTAATTATTAGGAATTAATTAATTAAGAATAAAAATAAGCATCGAAAATAAATATTAAATAAAGTCGATATCTATTAAGAAAGTTGTAGTGGTCGCGACAAGGATTCTGGATATATAAAGAATACCGAAATCCGAGTTATTATGAAGAAGTTATGACATGTCGAAGTTCCGCGACAAAATCGATACGATGTCGAATGACGTAAAAAGTGAGTTTTTGATTAACTACTTTTTAGCATTACTGATCTAAATGAAAGTCGTAGTGTTCATTAAACCGAGATTATGCATTAAAAGAACACCCAAATCTGACTTTGTATGAGGAAGTTATGATTTTTCTAAGTTTCAGCTTAGCAGTAGACAGCTAAAAACTCGAATGTTCGATCGAGTGATTTTTAGCCAACACAACCTAAACGAGAATCGAAGGTCTCATCAATAGTAATACAACGGTAAAAATACAGACGAAACGGACGTCGGATGAAGAAGTTATGAATTTTTAACGGATTTCCTATCCCGGTTTGTTAAAAATAATAATATTAAAATTAAATCAAAATTAGCCGACGCAATCTAAACGAAAGTTGTAGAGCGTAATTTTTACCTACGCGTGCATATAAAGAACGTCAAAAACGGAGCCCGTATGCGAAAGTTATGGATTTTAGAAGTTTTGGCTCAAAAATCAAGAAAGTCCCAAAATCCGAGAAATTCTGCATGGTGAGACTTCGGCCACGTCACCCTCGCTCGCAGGTCGCCTCGTGTTCGCCATGTGCTCGTTGCCGATTCGACCGAAGGTGCGGCCCAGTAGGAACTCGACGCGCCACGTACCGGTGGCAGATCCGAAGCGCGGTCCAATGGGCGTCCGACGCTTGCCCTCCTTGTGTGTCCGAGCTTCGCAGGCGCGCCACCTCTCCACCCTTCGCACCATAGACCTCGGTCCAATCAGAAGCCGCCACATGGAGCCTCGCACGTGCGTGCCACATGCCCCTCGGATCTACTGGCATCTGTTCGCTTCTCAGCCCTCAGATCAGAAGCCTCGCCCCTATAAATAGAAGGGTGTGAGACCTCCCGGGTATATTTTGGAAAAGTGTCATTTTACACCCCTAAACTCATATTTTTTTCATTCCAACTTCCCCTAAAGCCCCAGTATTATACCAAACACCCAAAATACGTTCCGAAGTGCTTGAAGACCCGAAAATATTTATCTTTTCGGTTTTGAAGCCAACCCTCGCAGAGCCCGGTTTCTCAATAAAACTCTCGGTTTTATTAGAAACAACTGTTTTAGGAAACAAAGTGCTGCCCGATTATCATTAAATTAGGCGAGTGTGTAGTCACTTTTACCTTACACGTAGATATGAAATATTTTCTATAAAATATGTGCTATATGTAATTATATTAATTGTTTATTTGAGGTGACTGTTAAATAGATGTTTTATACAAGTTTTAAACTGTATATGTATTTTATCTACAAATATGTTAGGTAAAACATGGGTAGATGAAATAGTTGATGTGTGTTAAAATGATGAAAGGCCTCGATGTTTTTGTTGTTGTTGTAGTCATCTAGTGGAGTATAGATGACGACCACGGACCTTTCTAGACAGTCCAGTGGAACACTAGCAGGTTCGCAACTTGTAGGTGTTGGTGAACTATATGCTCATTGGTGTACTCCATGCCCCTCATGGTTGCCTTTAGAACATGTATGGTTGAGGAGTCCCCTTAGCAGTAGTGTCCATCCCGATGATATTCCTTAGGCTAGGTCCCTTGTGATAGGTATTTAGGGACGTAAAGTGAGTATAACGAGAATGGGTAATCAGGGTTATTGTTGATTGACGAATCTAATAGATTTATTATTAGTGTGGATTGAAAACCCTATATGCTCACCAGGCTCCCAAGCCTGACCAACTCAACTTTTTATATTACTGGTAGTGGACCCCAAGCATAGTCGGATGATGATGATAGATTTTTGGATTATAGGCTAGTAGTTGTAAAAAATGTAGTAAGGCTTATAATGTCTTGTTTATGCTTTTGATCTGTATCAGATAATGACATCCCAAGGTTTTGATATAAAATGAAAAAATATATTTCTTAAAGAAAGGTTTTGATAAGTTTTTATCATGTTTTGTTTTGGGAACAAATTCTACAACATCTTTTAAAAGGATTACTCTGAGTTTATTTTAAAAGCATAAATTAAATCGGTCTTTTCTGACCGAGAAATTAGGGGATGTCACAGTATCTTTGATAAGTTGAATGACATAAAAGGAAGATTTACGAGAAGCCTTCTTCTGTAAAAGTGGGAGAAGTAAAATTGATTATTGAAGACCTCTCTTTCGGAGAAGTAAAGGTAGAATAAGAAACAAATGAAGAGGAAAATTTTGATACAACCAAAGGTATAATAGGAGAAGAATCAGGAAGACAAAAATTAGCTTATTTTAACCCGAAACAACCTCCTCCATCTCCAGAAGAAGACCCACCACTTTGAGACAAACCCTCCCTCCAATCGTTGAACCATTAACCTCTGGTGCCCCTATCAAAGACTTAGGCAAGAAAATTATTACCAAATAAGAAGTTCATTGGAACAAAGCGTAGTCCATAATGATCAAATTCTCAATGACCTGGATGTTGCACCCTACCGAACATTTGAAGCACCTATCTCCATTGAGTTTGGGATATTCCAAACTCTCCAAATAGAAGGTAGTTTCCCATTTTTATCCCATGGAGCAAAGAATTTCAGTTGAAGAGAGATTTTACAAAGAAAA